GGGAGCTATAATAGGTTTGGTAACCAGGCTATTTGCGGAGAGGATGTAGGACTCGGGAGCTATAATAGGTTTGGTAACCAGGCTAGATTGGAACAAACTTCAAGTTACTATATTGCAATGTACACATCCGATATTTGTATGTATTTTACAGACATTTTTTGGTGTCATTTGGTCTTTAGCAACCGTTTTCCATTATCGACATCGCATTTTGCCTCAAAGATGTCAGTATACTATATATGGGATAGGATTCATTCAATTTATTACTGTTAAAAGAATGACCAGAAAATTGACTTTGATCATCCAGTTTTGCCGCCCTGAAATTGCATTGGATGCCTTATTTCTTACCTCCACATATTTCATTTTGAAGTATTTGGTAGTTTTGGTGATAAGAATAATGTTTCTATGGTAGACAGTCGCAGGTCGAGATGTTTTTGCTGGTACTTTTTAACAGTATCAAAATGGTGTCCATATATTTTCTACAAAAGAAGGAAAGGCTAAAAAAGCGAAATGATTACTAAGTAATCATGCCGTGATATTTGAAAGTGTATGTACGTACTTATCTTCTCAACGAACTGCAGGGATCCATATCACAAACTCAGTACAACATCATAGATATCCATGTCATAATTTTATCATGACGCTTTTGGATAATCTACCTCATCATACATGTACAGGGTGTACGAACCATGCAATATAATTTAATCAAAGTTACCAGCCTCACAACATACATTTTTGTACAAGAAAAATTGCAGAAATGCCATGTAAATTTGGCCTGTTTGTTACCCGCAAATGCATTCCAGTACCGAGAGCAATACTTGTCAGTTGTGAGTGCCATTCTCAAGTTTTGTCAACAAGTAGAATTGGCCAAATAGACAGATAACATTCCAAGGGAGTTTCGAACTGTATTTCTTTAGCGGAACAACGCCCCTGGCATGTTAGCTGTCTATTTTAGCCAATTTCTACTCTTTCCATCCAATTCCGAAGCCTGGTAGAGGATATCCATATGCCCCCAAGGAAATTTTAAGGGTTACTACGGGACACTTTTTTTCTGACACGGCCAGGTTATGGCTAGGCTGATGACTAATTTTGCCACTCCATCCATAAACCACCAACAATTATGTGCTCATTTCACGGGTTATCAGAGCATGACTGGTCGGTAATTGTTGACAGAAGAGTTGTTTACTTGTTGTCTGTGTTGTTAAGGTCGTTGAACCCAAAGACACCGTCATTCACTTCAGCTAAACCCGAAACCTAAAAAAAACAGAAATTTTGTAGACAGATAGTTAGCGTTAACAACTTTTTAAATGTTCACCTTCGCAGAAGTTAAACGTTACAGGTTGAAAACCCCACAAAAGAAAGGCGTGGTAATGTTCTGTCCAAACATTTGTTTCAACACGACAGTCACCGTGCCTGGTCATGCCTTAAGAAGGCACAGCAGGTAGTATTTACTGTTCAAAGAGAGTTTTTTTTACGAACTATTCAGGTGGGAAAGTGAGGTGTAGCCTTGTAGCTTAGCCTCCGTAGCAGGCTTATATGGAACTGGGGGTTTGGTGGTCTTCGGCTGTTTTCTGATTAGCCCAGTTCTAAATAAAACGGGGGTAATTCAACCAGGCCGGCTATGTTGTCTATGTGCAATCACAAAATAGCACATAAAAGCTCTCAAATACGATGAAGACTCCCCAAACCCCCCAGTTTTTGGCATGCTATTGAGGCTACTTGTAGCTACCGTTGGAAGGAAAAAGGGCAGGAACGACAACATCTATCAATCGTGTCGTACCGCCTGACAGATGCCACATATCTGCAACCCGCAATATATATTACCGTACAAAACATTTTATATGGTATGCTTTGAAAGTTCAAAAGGAAACGACAAATCCAGACAAGGATGATGCAGATTAGTCAAATAGGTCCTCATCCTGTTGTTACAGCTTAAGATTGCTTAAGTCTTGTCTGTTCTCGGTGCTGGGAGTGCTAAGTTCTGAATTCCTGAAAGATCTACCCTTAGCCCCCTAAGCTTCCATGTCGAGCTAGGGTGGGGTTGTACATTCTTTCATATATTGCCTCTTTTAACACCCCGTTCCCACCAGCGGGTCTAATACATGGATTCGTTGGATAAAACATGTACTGTTCATGGTCCTAGCTAGAACAGTACATGCCTAAAGCTTCGGTCACAACCCGCCGTACGTGCTTCTGCGTGCTGTCTATACTCGTTTGCAAAAACGTGGGCAAACGAGTACCGCTTCCGTACGGAATCCTACGGATTTGGGAGCACGCAGACACGCCGTAGAACTTTAAGTGCATGTAAAACTTTTTCTGTGTGCGGTCTGCGGATTCACCACCCGTGCGTGCGAGTACGGGCGACGCGCGTGCCCGGTACGTACCGTACGAAAGACGCACGTATGAGTACGACCTCCTTACGGTAAAGTTGCAATCGCACAGAGATCGTACGTCGTAAGCACGTACAACTCACCACTTGCGCAACGTACAACGTGGCGTGCAGACCATCTTGCGAAACAGTGCGAGTGACGTGCGTCGATGCCACTCCTTCCCCACGTTTTCAGAAAAAAACGTAGCAGACGTAGCCTCCCAAAAAACGTACGGACAAAAAGCACTTACGGCGGGTTGTGACCGAGGCTTAATACAGCAACTATACTAGCTAAAATGGTCGCACGAGGGTTTGTATTTAGAGTGTTGAAAGATAGACCCATGGACCCTCGACATCTATCGAGTAGCGCTAAGTACTATGTACTAAGTATCTGTCAAGTGTGATCCATGTAGTGCTGAAAGAATGAAACATAATATCAGCTGTAACGCACAATTATATATCCGTATGAAATACGGGGTATTTGTACATGTAACATGCCAATGTACTAAAGGTATTTCTTTTATACAATTACGGAGGTAGTCCATGTATCACGTTTTTAGAACGACGGTTTAACCACTGAGAATTATCATCGACAATCCCTTGTACTCTCCAAGCAGAGGTTTGGGGTTATTTTTGACGTGTTTGTACGCGTTTTCATAGGGTCTTTCTTGTCTTGTCTTGCATGTTTTTTTGGTGGCGTATAGGATACTGCCCTCTCAATACACGATACTTTCTTGTCAATTTGATACTGACTTGTCAATTTGATACTGTCTTGTCAATTTGATACTGTCTTGTCAATTTGATACTGTCTTGTCAATTTGATACTGTCTTGTCAATTTGATACTGTCTTGTCAATTTGATACTGTCTTGTCAATTTGATACTGTCTTGTCAATTTGATACTGTCTTGTCAATTTGATACTGTCTTGTCAATTTGATACTGTCTTGTCAATTTGATACTGTCTTGTCAATTTGATACTGTCTTGTCAATTTGATACTGTCTTGTCAATTTGATACTGTCTTGTAGACAGTACTAGACACCAAAAGCTCTGCTTGGAGATTACAATCCTAGCACAACTGGACATCAGGGTCAAGGCAAAAAATACCTCATCAAATTTCTTCGTTGGTCGTGGCACAAATCTCCTATCTCATGATTATTGTTGTCAATATCAATGTATTTCTGTTATAATGACAATCATGTGGCGAATCTTCCATATTGGAAGCGACCACAATAATCTGGCATGTCTGTGCCTTAAAAATGTCAATTGTATATACCAAAGATAATTTTGGTAAAGGAGGTGGGAGGTATGGAATAAACAGATGTAACAATTGTATTTGTAATATGCGTGTGTTGTCTCTTCTCATATAAAGACAATATTTTTAAAAATAAAGAGTTTTTTTACCGATAGTGTTGTGGCATAGCTATCCCTCTAGTCAACTATTTTCAAAAAGTCAGAATTCGTATCTGTTAGCTTGGCACTGTCACCAATGATTCACCATCTCACCAGTTTCCAACAAGAATTCGGAGATCTCAGACCTCCATGAAATATTTAGATCTTATATGATGGTGACTGTGTCCTCTTCTCATTCACCATCATGGTGTCTACACGTCTTTCTCTGTTATGCAAGGAGGTCATGTAATGAAAAACATTGGAAAACAGTGAGTGCTACCAGATGCAGATACATGTGTATCATCATGAGTTTACATACGGAACCCATGTCCATTACAACCTGACCTAAGGGCCAAGTGGAAACACAGACACACACACACAAACACACACATACACACAGGCAGACCAGAAACAATACCTCCCTTTCTCATTGAGGTAAATAGTAAGCACAATCAGACTCCCTTTCAGAACAATTG